AGAGGCCCAAAGGGAAAAGCTGACCAAGGAGGACACTTGGGAAAGTGAAAAGCAGATGCTGAACAAGTTCAGTGAAGAAGAGTTTTACAAACACCTTGACTCTGGGAGAATTGTGTACCGGTCAGACCCAAGCACCCATGGGGTGTGGCAGTACAAAGATACTCAATCCTACAAGAAGGAGACAGCTATCTCAAGGGGAAAGAAATGGGAATCAGGTCAAGAATTTGACCCTGATCAGTGATCAGCAGGACTTGGAAAAGTTCAAGCACTTGTACAGTGTGGAGGCAATGGCTCTGCCCCTGGATGATGTCGGTGCCTGGGAAGGCAAAGGGCAACCTGCAAAGGGCCTTGGAAAAGGCAAGGGCAAAGGGAAAGCCCTTGGAAAAGGGAAAGGCAAGAAGTGGCCACTTGCAATCCTGGATGGATCTGTGCATGAAGAAGAGCAAGAAGAAAAGCCAGAGCAAACAGAGGAAGAAGCTCTCAAGGAAGCCTTGAAAAAGGCAAGGAAAGCTAGAGATGCTGTTGCCTCTGTACAAAGTGACCTGGATGATGCCTTGCGAAAGGCCAAAGCTTCACTGTCCAGGCAAGGCAAGGCAACAGCAGAGGGCTTGATTGCTAACGTGTCTAAGTTGGGTGTTCTTTGCACAGGCGGAAAGCCATTGATTGGAGGGTACTTTGCACATCTGTGGTGTGTCATGGGAGACCATGAGTTCTATTCGAACACTTTGAAGCTCCCACACTGGGCTGCACATCACCCCTGCTGGGAGTGCAATGCCCAGAATTGGGCTGGGTGTGATGCATCCCTGAACTACAAAGAGATCTGCTTGGAAAAGCAAAAGTTTGTAGTAGGGACCCATGCTGAACATTTGGCCGACCCATGGAGTTCACATGAGATCGTGTCCAGCAAGAATGTTCGAGGGGATGCAATGCACATACTGTTTTGCAAGGGTCTCTACAGTCATGTCATTGGTAGCATCTTGCATTATGCATGCTACTATGAAGGCCCTGGAAAGGTGCCTGTCAAAAAGCCTTGGGAAAGGCTTGCTATGCTCTTCACTGAAATCCAAGAACAGTATAGAGAGCAAAGCTTGGAGCACCGCTTAACCAACTTAAAGCTGTCTATGTTCACTGATGCAGCAAAGCCATGTGTAAGCAAAGCCAGTTTGGATTGCAAGGCTGGAGAAGCCAAGCATTTGCTCCCAGCTCTGGTCCCAGTCTTGGAAAAGCTCTTTGAAGGGACTACAGAGATCAGTGAACAAAAGATGCACACAGCAGCCTGCAGCTTGGAAAAGCTGGTGCAGCTTTGGTGCGATGCTGGAGAATTTGCAAAAGCCATGAGTCTTGGAAAAGACTTCTTGGATGCTTACAAGTGGCTTCATGCTTGGTCCTTGGAAAAGGGCAGAAACAGTTTTGCAATTGTGGCCAAACACCACAGTTTCATACATCTTCTATGGAATAGCAAATATATGAACCCTACCAAGCATATGTGCTTCTTGGGTGAGGATTATGTAGGGCGCATCAGCAAGCTGGCCCACAGTGTGAGTTTTGGTGTGTCCTCCACCAGGCTCACACTGAAGGTTGTCCCCAAGTACAGGGTTCTGGTCCACTTCCTGCTGACCAGGAAGATGGCCTTGGAAAAGGCAAACCCTCAAAGGCAATGTGGGCCAGCAGCCTTGGAAAAGGCTTTGGCAAAGACTTTGGAAAAAGTCTAATCCTTGGAAAAGGTGTCTGTACATAGCAGTCCTTGGAAAAGGTGCTTGTACATAGCAGACCCAGTTCAATGAAAAAAGCATGAAAAAGTGTCCAGAAATATTGATTGAAATATTGATTCTGGTGGTGTAGGATATTGAAAAATATTGAAAATATATTGATTCAAGGGTCCACAGACAATGGTTTTTTCAATTGAAAAATTGATTCAAAAAATCAATCTGAGATATTGATTTTGCAGACCACAAAATCACTGCATCGTGTGGAGAGGACAATAGGATCTTTGAATCCGGCTTCAGCCGCAGCTTTGTGGTTACTCCATCAGCCAGGGAGACTTGGCAAGGTGAAGCTTCATCCCACTCAACTTCACTTTCAGCCGGGCGAAGGGCATGAGTTGCACCTGAATCCAGCAAAATCATGGAGCTGCTGTTGTCATAGTCCAGCTGGCTCACCTTGATAACACGAAGCTGTGGTGCACGAAGGGACTTCAACAACTTCGTCGCCTCCTGCAGCAAAGTCTCGCTAGTGGAGCCCGTCTCCCCACCTCCTTTTGCGCTTGCGCTCACTTCACCCATCGCAGTCTCACCGGGCTGCCCAGAGTTTCCTGAGTCAACGCTAGCGTCCAGCTCTTGGATCTTGGGTGGAGAAGACGTCGATGTCTTGGAGCCGGCTGTCGAAGCCACGGAAGACGACTTTCCTCCCCGTGAACCTGCCCCAGGTTCACCAGCAGACTTGCCATCTTTCCCCGACGACCCTTGCTCTGTTGCCCTTTCAATTTGCAATCCGATTTGCGATGATCCTTGCCACCGCAGATCCAACAACGGGAGTTCTTGTCGTCAATGCCGTCCCAACTGTGTGACCACTTGCAATTCTTACCGGCTTTGCGCCCAGTCTCCGACCGAAAGTACTTGCAAGGCATAGACGCCAGCGAAGTGCCCTTGCCTTTGTTGTCGGTGCCATTCCCCCCCAGTTGAAGACTTCGTCTGGGCCTCCATCTGCTTGACCTTGATGGTCTGAGTGGATGCGGTAGGCGTTGAGCTCATCAATACAAGCGTTTCTGCCTCCGTGCGCAAACACTGACTGAAGCGCCATACTCCTTGAGTGCGGCTGCTGATCAACACCAAGTTTCAAGCGACTCTGGGCCAGTCTGAAAGATGCCTGGGCATCAAGGGAGGCAATCAACGTGCAAGCAGGTTCCAATGCCTTCAACAACAAGGTGCCATCGGGACGAACTGCATCAATCTCCCGTGCCCGGGCAAAATGCCTTCTCCAGGAACGCAAGGCTGCCGCCATCTCGGAGACCGTGGGACTCTTGTCCAAGGTTGTCAAGTTGGAAAGAAGAATCGCTTTCTCCCCAGCTCCACCTGGCTGATACCTCACCAGGAGCCTGAAAAGCAAGGCAGTGGATGTTAGCTCACGTGCTGTGATTCAGTGATCAAGGCTTGTTGCTGGTCCGATGGGATGGCTCTCAAGAGAAGGTTGACTCCTCTCTGCTCAGTCCGCTGATATCGACCATCCATCAATGATGTCTTCCAGCGATCATAGTAACATTGGGCCTCCCTCAACGTCAAATTCCACCAGCGAGCGCTGACTTGGGAGATGTCCCTCAATACTGGTCCACAAACTGCCAACCAATCTCCAAGCTCCAAAGGCGAAGCGTCTGCCGAAAGCTCAGCCAGTTCAGCTTTACTGTTGCCTGTTCCTTCATTCCAAGGCAAGGGAACAGGAGTCGGGCCGTCTGACCCCTTCCAACAACCATAGATCCCGCCACTGACATCGTGACGGTCGGGACTCACGTTTCAACCGAGGATCTGGAGGACATACACCGTCATGGCCAGGTTCCTTACCGCCTTCACCTCCAGGACCTCGAAGACCTTGAAAATCGTGACCTCGAAGACCATACGACCCAGTGGGGGGTGCAGGAGGCACATCCTTCGAACATGCTGCAGCTGGCCACGACGAATCACCTTTCAAACGCTCCACCAATAACTTGAGTTCAGCCACCTCACGTTCCAAACGAGCTTCTCGGTCCTCTTGAGGCATGAAGACCTTCCCTTCTCTCATGCTCAACGGGATCTAATTGGAATCGCCCCGTCCAGGGTTTTTAGACTCCATCACTTCATACCCCTGCAGCAAACTAATGTCAGCCGAGGCGCTTGTTGGAAAAGGTGGGAACGGATCATCCGGAGGGGGTGGACCCGCAGGAATCTGAGGTCCATTCTGAGTGAACTGCACCGGCTTTGATTGAGTTGGAGGAGGCCGTCTGGTTGATGGACTTCTCCCCCGGGGTGTACGAGGTTGCGCACTAACATGATGACCAACCGATTGGTGACCACTCTCACGGTCAAGCCTTTGACACCCTCCGGAACTACGATCATGCCCATGAGAACCTTCATGACCACCACCACGCCCACCCGTGACGCCTTCAACGGTCTCCCATGAGGAACATAGCTGCTCCAGCCGTTTCCTTAGCTGTCTGGTTGCTTAGTTCTGTTCCCTTAAGAACAACACCATCTCTGCCTCCAGCGCCCGCTGCAGTCCGTCCTGCTCTCCATGAACCTTTGGTGGATTCGATGGAGGCGCAACCTCTGGTGGCAGAGGGCCCATGGTTTTGGAGGAAGTTCGACCACCCCCAGCACTCTTCCGGCATGGTGCCCTCAGTCCTTCTATTTCCCCCTCCTCGACCCTCAGATCGGCGGCTAGGTCCTAGGTGGTGTGACGAACATCTTGCCGCCACTTCGGGTCACCTTTTCCAGTCCTGCCAGCAGCGCTTGTGTCCCGCGCCACTTCCGAATCCAAGTCACCGTCGAAAGGACCTGGGAGGTCCTCCGGGCGATGCCGCTGCAAAGCCACCTCATCTTTCAGCCTTTGCGACCGCCAAGGGTTCACCGTGCTACCCATGCCGTGTGAACCAGGTGGAAGTGACCGTGAACGATCCACGGCGGAAGAAAAACGAGGCAACGCCTAAAAAAGGACGTTTGGGCTCATAACCCTTGTGAGATCATTCGGGCAGCGGCAACGTCCTGTTTTCTTCTCTTGGTACAAAATGCCTGCGATGGTCTCACCGCTCGTTCGATGTCCTGTCCAAAGATGGGCTGCATTACAGTAAACCGATTTTCATCCATGAGTAGTTTGGGGTCTGCTTCCTGCGCCAGTTGAACCATAGATAGATGGTTCCTGATCTTCCGGGGGAGTTCATATTTCATCAGTGCATGCCCCCTTTGGAGGCCAGTCCCTCCACCGGAAACATTGCCCTGTTCCATCCTTGAGAGAAAACAAGATGCAGACACCAGGCCGCCGATGACTACGCGGACCGCTTTCCCGACTTTTTGGCCGAATCCAACGTAGTAGATGTGATCCGGGCACGCTTGGTGTGCACCAGCGGCTCCCAGATGAAGACCTTCTTAAAGAAGATCTCGGAGAGCTATGAGACTGAGATCGAGGGGCAAAAGGTGAAGCTCAGCTTGGCACGTGCCAAGAACAAGTTTTCCAGCAAGGACAGTGATCCCTCCAGGTTCCGCAATGTTGCGTGGTCAGCAGCTGGTGAATCTCGAAGCTAGACTCGCTGTTGTTCCCTCGTGAATCCTCATGTGGGATGTATAAACGCCGCAAGAAACTTCCACAGGAGCTCCTTCGGGAGAACCTTAAGGACCTTGTGAGTTTCATCACCGTCGTCATAACCTGTTACACAGTTTCGGCCCCAAGCTCGCCGCCGAGTTTCGGGGAGAGACGGGCTGAGGGGGGGAAGGACTTCCTGAGGAAAACCTTTTAGCAGAGAGAAACCTCGGAAGATGCGATTTTTTCAGGTCTTGCTGAATTTGGAGCTGAGTCGTGATGGGCAGTCCCACTTCGTGGAGTTGCAAGTGCACCACAAGCTCATCCTTGATTTCAACGATGCCGCTCATCAAGAAGAATCTGCTGTACACTTTGACTCACAAACATGGAAGTGGAAAACCTCCTGTTTGCAAGGAGGACAGTAGTCTTCCAGGGATCCCCTTTCCACTTCCAACTTCCATGTTAGTGAATCAGATGCCGGGTCTCAAGCTCAACCGACCCATGGATGGTCTGCTGGGCTCTCAACCGACGTGCGTTCGTCGGCTGGAAATCCTTCGGTTGGCAGGAGAGCCATGCGCACGACTATTACGACTTCTTTCGGAGGGAGCTGGCCAACCAGTATGGCAAGGAAATGGAAGCGAGTACTTGGCCTGAAGATTAGCCTTTTAATGAGCTGTTGAATTGAATCCGAGGCCGTTACCACCCGAGGCCCGGCAACTCTGCAATCACAACCGAGGCCTGAACTTTATGTTGGAAGAGCGAATGCTGCTCTTCAAGGACTGGGACTGGTTATGGGTTCATGCTTTTGTGAGAAGTCCGGCCGTGTTATTGACTGTGTGGCAGGAAATTTCTGAAGTCCCAGTTCTCTTGTCGGTGATGACCATGGCTTTGCTGCACTCCAACCAGATGCCCTCGAACCTATTCGAACTTTACGCGCCTTGGCCGGTGTAGCCTCCTGAGGCAGTTGAGAGAGTATTTTGCGCACGGTTGGGGGCCCAAAAATTAATCAATGTGACTGAGGACATGGGGTTGCAGAATATCCTCTCAAGTCAGCTTGGCGACGTGACAAAGGAAGACATTGTGGAAATCTGGCGGCTCATGCAGCTGGTGGCGCTGAACAATCAGTTGAACCAGCCACTGAGATTTTGTGCGTGGTTTTGTGTGAGGTTGTTCTCCACATTCTTGTGCCTTTGTGCGGCGTTCTACTTTTACTGTGCATCCCGTCCGCTGGCGCCGCTGCCTGTTCCTCACGTCCTCCTCATTTACCACACCAACTCAACTCACGCCAATAAACTCACCAACTCAGTTGACACTAACTCAACTTACACTCACTCACTTACCCTCCCTTAGCTGCACTCCCTCACCTCTTCCTTCCGCTGTAGGCGCCAGTTGCTACAAACACAAGAGCTTCACACGGGGTGATCCGGTCCTTGTTCTTGCAGCGATGGGTTTCCCAATCTTGGGGGTGGTGCAACGGCGCAGTTGGTGGTTGTGGCGAAGCTTGCCGTTGTGGTGGTGTTTGTGGCAGGCGTGGTCGTGGGGTGGTTCTGGCATCGCTGTGGTTGTGGCTGCTGCAGTTGCTGCTATTTGGTGATGTTTTGGCTAGGCGCATCTGTGGCACCTTGCTGTTTTCTTTTGGTCGAGAATCCCTGATGAAAAGTGTCACACCGCACCTGCATTAGGAAGCGTATTTTTATGCAGAAAGATGTGGAGACGGCCTTGGTTGAGGTTGGGCGGACTGAACTGCAGAGGGGTGGTGAGGATCACGCGGGCCTGCAAGAAGTTGAGAGTTGAGAGTATGCACATGAACATTTTGGGTCAATCTTGTATGTTTGTCCTGCCAGCCTGCTTGTTCCTTCAGAAATTTGACCATGATTTGGTGAAGGCCGGCATGTAGAATTGCCGGATGCAGGTGCATGCAAGATTACGCAACGCACTTAGGCTGCAGCAAAATAGGCAAAATATTTGCATACATGTTTGACGCCGACGGTGGTTCCTCCTTGCACTGGGGAGGACAAGCACCTACTTCCTGTGTGGGCCAAGTTTGTCGAAAAGGGAGAGGTGCCCTTTGTGAAGATCTTGGCGGATGGTGATGATGCCGAGTATCAGTTCAGGACTGATGTGAAATACACCCCGCTCTGGAAACCTGCTCCATACAGCCATACAAGAGCCAATAATGTGTGTGCTGTGTGTGTGCGCCCCTTGTAATCACAGGGATCCCTTTGGATTTTTCTTTTCAGCAGGGAGGCTGGTTGTTCATGCAAGTACCAGCCCAACGAAGAGGCTTGCATTGAACACTGATATCGGTGGGGACGCTCACCGACGTACCTGCAATTTTCCTTTTTCCGAATGGCATGAGGCTAAGCCTAGAACCTCACTTGCTGCAGACATGAGCGATCGTCGTCATTTCGACCTGTTCGTCGCCTTCGACCTTGCGCTTTTGGCCTCACTTCCTCTTACAGACCTCCAGGCTCCGATGGTCCTTACTGGTTCTCTTAGGAAATGGAACCCTAGGCCGGCGTGTGGCACCGCTATCAGTTCCGTACGCATATCCATAAGTGTGTTTGGCCTCGTGCCAACCCGGGATGAGCCCGTAGAGCCTCCCGTGGACCCGTCGAACGGGGGTTTGTCGTTGTTTCCCTTGCTTTGGAAACGTAAGTGCCCACAGCGGGCGAAGCTGGCTCATGCCACAAGAATTTGGATGTTTGTCCCATCTTGGAATTCCAAGCTGGCTCATGCCTTCACGTGACCGCAGCGGTCAAAGCAGTCAGCCATTTCGGCAGGGCACAAGGTGACTATAGCGGTCAAAGCCAGTTTAAGGTTCATTGGAACCTGTTGGAGCCTTAGTACCTCAGGTGATCTGATCCTCCTTCCCGCCTTCCCCTGCCGGTCTCGCTCCAGTGGAGGGCATACCGATGAGGGCCCAGGCCATTCTACATCGTGAGATTCTTCACGTACACGCCCTGTTGACCCTTACTACCTTGCTCCTTCGCACTCGACTCGCCATCCCTGGGGGGCCATTTGATCACCAAAAACAAGGTCGAAGGTCAAATGGCCATTTGGACACGAAAAAACGGTATGGCCGTGAACAATTATTTGGCCGTGAAAAAGCCGGTAAGGCCATGAAAAAATGTGCATTTGGACGTGAAAAAACGGCTCTTGGCCGCGAAAAGGCGTGAAAAACGTGAACTCAAGGAGTTGAAACCGTGAAAAAACCAAATGGCCGTGAAAACGGGCAATGGCATCAAAGCTTTACAAAATAGGGTCGAGAGCTGTTTGATCGCATTTTTAGTGATCGAATGGCTCCCCAGGTCCTCTCTCCCACCTTCCTGGACTGCATCACCTCGCCGCACCTCCAGGTACAAATTCGAGGACTTGATTCTGCAATTCGCCAAGCGTCTCAGGCCATTCATACCGGTCTTCACTACATTCAAGAGTTACTTACCACCTTTGGCCTGATCCACGCTTTGACCTTTGATACTGCTCAATTAGATGCCGAACTGCGTGGACGCACTACTTTTCGAGATCCTCGTCTTCCTTCCAATCTTCCTTCAGCTCCAGGCTCTCAGTCAACGCGACGAATGACTCCTACCAGTCTCACTCCAGATGATGACATTATGCGGATGACCCGGCCCTCTTCCACCTCACGATCTACACATGGATTTGTCGTTACTACTTCGAACCGACCCCTTTCCACTGCGGAGCTTCGAGCCGCTATGAATCGCTCCCGGTCTCGATCCCGTCCGAGGGACACCTAGTTTCACTCTTCCACCTCGACTGGACCGCTTGAAAATAAGCTACGGTTTCTCTTTCTCTTTCTTTCTTTTCGATTCACATGTTTACACCTTGGCATTGTACCTTTCCTCTTCCTTTGTTTCTCTCCCCTTTGGCTCCAGCTTGACTTTCACGATTTATTCTCCACGCCCTCATCCTCGCCGCCATGTCTTCTTCGACTTCGACATTGTTCTCTCCTCCTACAGGACTTGCACCAGTTGCAGGACTACCTCTTGCAGCTCACGCCGTACTACATCGGGAACTTTTTCACAAAAATTCTTCTTTGCAGCTGGTCCTCACGATTCTACGAGGACCTTGGGACACATTGACTCCTGCCCTCGCGGACACCATCACTTGCCCTCGTCTTATTGCTTACCTTCGAGGACTGGACGCCAGTATTGGTCAAATCAAACGAGCCACCTGCACTACTCTTGTTTACACGGACCAACTTTTCGACGCTTTGGGCCTACTACATCTTACTCACTTCGACCGAGGACACACTCGATTGACTGCCCAGCTCCGCGACCAGACCACCCCTTTCGATACACCGGTTTCACCTCCTTCTCCTTCCTCCTTCCTGCCCCGTTTGATCCTTTCTCCACCCTCTCCCCTACCGGCCCCTCCGACCCCTACTTCGACAACTACCGCTGGACCACATCCTCCTCCCCCCACCACTCACTCCTATCCTTCAGTACCACATCAAGCTTCGACATTGACGAGGACGACACGCTTTCGCTCCCGTTCTCCTCCACGACCACGTTAGGTCTCACACACCTTCCACTCGGCGTTCGAATAAAAAGTTGACCTATCCTCACTTCCTTCGTTTCGGCCAATTCCACATTCAGTCATGTCATGATTTCAATCATGTCACAGATTGATTTCTTCTTCTTTGTCTCACCTCCTTGGCTCTCAGCAATCCGTCCGATTCGAGCCGATTCGATCATCCCCCCGTGCCTTTAGCCATGTCCGGCACGCCCTCTCCGCCTTGTGGCCTCGCACCGACTCCAGGTATATCTCTCGTTGCACAAGCAGTTCTACATCGGGAACTTCTTCATGCACTTCATTCCCAATGTCGGTTTCTCACTTCCTCACCTGATGCAGCACATGGAAACAATCCTCGTGACAAAATGACGGCCGTATTCACCTTTGTCTTTGCAACTCCTGCTGTTACCCTAAGTCACCCAAATTAGTAATTTTACTAACCATAATTTTTCGCAATTTTTTAGTTTTACTAAGGAAAATTTACGTAAAAAAATACGTAAATGTAATAGAAAATCCAATTTAGGTTACGAGTAAATCCAATTTAGGTTATGATTAATTTTTAGGTTATGAGTAAGTTTTTGTGAGCATGATTCTGAAGCAGAAAATGTCTAAATTTATGTGAGTTGGCTTTGTCCAAAGAGCAAGGTTTTCTACAGGACAACATGTACTTGAGGATATTTGCGCTATGGATTTTTGTTTTTGTTGACTGAGCATGAGCATGCCAGGAGGTGTGGACTTTGCCTGTACTTGAAGGGATTGCATTTACTTGAGCATGTGTACCCTTCTTGACTTGAACAAAACCTTTTGCTTGAGGGCGTCTACTTGATTCTGGGATTGTTTGATCACTGTTTGACATTTGAAGATGGTTGGTGAAAGTTTGACACTGGACAGTATTATGTGTTTATTTCTGACCAGCCAGTTTGGGCCATAACCATTGTTTGCCCAGCGCTGCTTCATTCCATGCTCAGGAGAGAAGACCGCATCGAGACCATGATGGATGTCTTGCGCAACTTCAGGGACATGAGCAGCTCTAGTGATTGGGGAGGAAAAAAAGATGTATCTGTGGGTGTGCTGCGCAAAGAAACTTTGTTCCATGAGCCTTCTTACTTCATTGTTTGATTCTGTTTGGGCAGCTTTTACATGAGGGTGTGACTTTACTTGAGAAGCTTTTACTTGAGGATGTGATTTCACTTGCGGTTTCTTTTACTTGAGGATGTGAGATTGCTTTTACTTGAGGATGGTTTTACTTGAGGATGGTTTTACTTGAGTGTATTTTTCTTCAGGTTGAGACTTTGTGTAAGTACACTTTACACGAGGATGCCATTCAACTTGGAAGTGTGTGTTGTCTTGTTGTGAGTTGAAGTGCATTTGATATGTATTTATGAAATTTAGTTCAAAAACTATAAATTTGAGATAAAATGTTGATGAATTCTTGATGCACTTTTGATGTGCTTCTGATGTACTTTTGATGTACGTTTTAAAAGTGTATACACTTTTGGTCAAAAGTGTATACACTTTTGCTAAAAGTGTATACACTTCTAAAAAGTACATCAAAAGTACATCAGAAGTGCACCAAAAGTGCATCACAAATTCATACAGGTTTTGGCAGATTTTATGAACAGTTTTGATGTTCTGCATCATCTTGCCAGCAAAACAAACAGACCTAGCAGTCGTGTGGGTTTACCCTTTACCTGAGAATGTAATGCTTTTGCACAAAGAGTTGATCAGCATTGTATGTTGTTCAAACTGAAGTTGTTGAGAGTTTACTGCAGGCTTATTGGTTGTTGTTTACTTTTGCAGCTAGATTGATCTCAAAAGAGCTTTGAAAGATAGGTGCAGTAGCTTGTTGGCATGGCAGACGAAGAAATTCCTATGGGCCAAGTCACACCTGAAGAGAAGGAAGAGGTTGAGCAAAAATCACCCCTGTGGCCCTGTGAAGAAGAAACCTGCTGCCAAAGCAAAGAGCCCTAAAGGAAAGAGTCCCAAAGCAAAAGCAAAAGGAAAGGGCAAACCAAAGTCAAAGGCAAAGGCCAACTGTTTGAAAAGGCCTGCTGCAAGTGGAGAGACCGCGCAGCCAGCTCATGGCTGGGCAGAAGGGTTGCAGGAGGATAAGGAGGAGGAGGAGGAGGAAGCACCAGAAGTTGAAGAGGATGGCTTTCTGGAAAAACAATGCTTAAGTTAGAGGAGGTTTTCTGGGAAAGCAGCTGCCCAAAAAGTAGCAGCCCAAACACTTTGTGGCCACATGTTCTTCCAAATTGGAACTGTGTTTACCTGAGTGTGTCTGCTTTTCTGTTTCACCCAAATCATTGCGCTTGCGCTTGTCTTTCCTGTGTGCTTATACCTGAATGTGTGTACTTGTGCTTTTATCCAAGTGTCTCTACTTGTGGCTATATGTTTTACAAATTACTTTCTTCAAAGGATGTGTTTTAGATGCAGTTTTGAATATTTGCAAATCAAAAAAAGTAGAGAGAAAATAGGGAAAACCCTTAGTGAAGACCAACCTAAATAAATTTAGGTTGTACCTAAATCGAATTTACATTTACTAACCCGTTTACACTTTTTGCCACCTAAATTCATGAATTTACGTAAATCCAATAAAAATGTAAATTTACTAATTTCGGTGACTTAGGGTACACTTCTTCCACTTCCACTACTCTTCTCATTGTTCTACTCTACCAGTATTTCGGCTCAAACTCTAAACCTGCGGACATGTCTCGTCCCACTCCATCGGACCTCATGTCTACAGTCGCGACCCACTTGAACATCGTCATCGTTGCACTTCGTCTTTTGGCAGACATGATTCAATCCCCAGAGGGTCCGTCAACAACTGTCCTGGCCCCAACTTCGTGTCCTTCTGGACCATCCGCCAATCAGACCTCACCACTATTATTGACGACTACTTGTCCCTCTATCACTTGGGCACCTTGCGGATCTCCAGGACTTCATTTGCACCTCCAGCAACCACCATCTCCGGAAGACTACAGGGCTCCTCCACCGTCGCCTACCTCATCGGCTAGATCAAACACTCCCCCTGCCCCACCCATCTCTCCTCCTCCTCTCTTCCCCCCTTCTCCCTCTCGTCCCCTCCCTTCTTCTCCTCCTCCTCACCTCTCCCCTTCCCCTGCCCCCTCTCACCCCGCCTCCTCCCCTCCTCTCTCCCTCCCCCCTTCCCCCGCCCTCCCCTTGGTTTCGCTTAGCCTCGCCCCTCTGCCTGTGCTCCCCACCCTTCTCCCTCCCCCTCCAATTCTCTTGTCTCCTCCGCACCCTCGGTTCCCCCCCCTTCCTTCTCGTCCCCGGAAACGGGGCCCACCCTCTCCTCCTTCTTCTGACTCACCTTCCCTCCCCGCCTCTCCACGCCCACACTCTGATACTCCCTGGGAAGATGATTGGAGCGCCAAAGATGATGATCCCCTTCTTAGTCTCAAATGCAATGAACGACTTCGACCCAGTCGGCGCTACGTTGCCAGCAAGATGCAGCGCCCGCTGTCCCAGATCCGCGCTCGTTGGGCTGAACTTCTTGAACTTCAACGACTTGCTGCCTCGTGACGCCCCTCCATACCTTCATGGTCGCCATTTCACTGGCTCGACTCTTCTCGGTACGTTGTCGGCTGAAAAGACATCGCTGCTGCTTTTCAATGTTCGAGTGCACTTCATTTTCCTGATGTTTCTTTTGTCCTTCGGGGTCCATCCCAATTTTTCGTTCGTGTAGTCTCTTGGCTCAAACTCTTGTCTCACTGTCCTCCACTCGAACTCCTTTTGACGAGCTCAATGACTACGTCATCCAGTACATGCATCAGACGACCTCGTCCTTCCGTGGCCTCTCACCTTCGGGACCCTGATGAACTTATCCTCATCTCCACCAATCTCCCGAAGAAAGCTCGCCCAGCAGAGCCTCCTATTTCATTACGGACGACGTTGACCTCTCCTTACAGTTCGACTCCCCCCACAATCTCTCCATGCGCGACTACGCTGACCTCGAGTTCTTCTACCTCGGCTTTACCCCTTCCTCTGATTGGATTTCTCGTCAAACTCAATGGGGAGCAGGTACCATTTCTCATTCCCCGCCCATCGATGCCTTTTCGACTACCTGAGGCTAAGCCTTAATTCAATAATTCATCTCTTTGTTTCATCTCTCACTACCTCCGCTTCCCGTTTGGAAAAAGGCCACCACCGAAAAAATCTCGACTTTCACCTTCCCTAAGTTAATCTGCATCTTGTTCACCCTTTTCTCCTTTCCTTCTTCTTCCTTCCGCAGCTCTTTGGTTCAGACCCTCGCCCCTTTGCTACGACTCCTCTCCGTCCGATATGGAGAACACCCACGCTCCGAACGATGACGCCCGAAACCCTTCGGATAGTTCATCTCCGACTCAAGTACCCACCGATGATTGCCCTTTGACCCCGGAACAAATGGCGCTTTCCAGCTTTGTCGCCCTACCGCTTGGACATGATGGTCACCCTATCGTGGTCGATTTGGCCCCCGGGTCCACCACCTGGATTGATACGCATGCAGTGGATCCCACCTTACTCCCAGGACTTCCTCGAGTCGAAAACCAATACAACAAGGATTACACCGATTATGCTCAGCAGGTCCACAACCGTACTCATGGATCTTATCCTGTTGCCAAACCTTATGAGGAATGGGCATGCCGTCAATGCGGTCCTTCCCGTCACTGGTTCTATCGATCCTGGTTCCACCATCAGACCATTCGCTGGGACCACGAGGATATTCCTTACTTGAAATCCGCATCAGGCTATTTCCTTGATGTCCACCATTCCTCATATTGGCACACTCAGCACTGTGTGTGGGGCACTCGGGGCTGGCAACTGGTACTACCAGCCATTCAAAGCCTTCCCATTTGGGAGGCATGTGAGAACTATGAATATGCACTTCGTCTTGAGGAGCAACGTTTGGCCGCTGAAAACAACCCGATCATGTCAGACACCACTTCAACAGATCCCCCCAGAGGACGTAAACGTCAGGCTGTCGAAAATTTGGAGCACCTTAAGGCGTAGTACACACCCTCACTACGTACCAGGACGAACTCAATCAAGCACTCCGCCAAGATGACCCCGCTCCCGCTCCGGACCGTTCCTCCGCAGCTCCTCCTGCACCTACAGGTCAAGAACTCCCGATCGACCCGGTTGTTAGCGGCGCAGGACTCCCCGTACCTGACTCGGGATCTATGGCGTTGAATTCCTCCTCCAGAACACCTTGGCTCCTCCTTTTCCACCTTCTGCTGGAACCCATGACTGACCACCACTTGGGCGACAACAAGATCCTCAGGTCGAGGCCGTACGAGCTTCCCTTGTACATTAGAGCTCACTTTCCGCCGAAAACAGCATCGTTGGAGTCCTGCTCCTTCGGTTACAACACGCTTTGTTATCATCTTTGACACTTGACACATTTTTTACCCTTCTTCCTCTCTCTCTCTCTCTCTCTCTCTCTCTCTCTCTCCGCAGCCATTGGCTCCTCAAGTGTGTGCGTTTTTCACTCGCCTTCTCCTCCTTCCGCGATGATCTCGTCCCCCGGACTTCGAGTTCCTGAACCTCTGACCCAATTGATACCCACTACGTGGCGCGATGTTCGTCAACCCTTTGAATCCTTGGATCTAGTACCCAATCTCCCCACCATTCGGCTTGAACTCGACATCAGCTTGCTCGTTTACCAACCCCTCAACTACATCACCGTGACCCTGGACACCCACCAACTTGAAACCAAGGAGTACACCGTTGACGATCTCAAAGATGTGATTTACTCCCGTTTGGGACAACAGCGCGCAGCATTTTGGATGGCCCTACCGTCTACCGGCGACTCTCGTGTTTGGGAAGTTCCACACACCTGTACACTTGAAGACCTCGTGCTCTATTACGTCAATTCCCGACGGATTCGCCCTCTGGGGATCGCAAATGAATTTCCTCGCGACCCCACTCCTTTCCCATATCGACCTCTTCACACTGTTGCCGCCCGCCTACATGATGATGCCATATGCCAACTCCGACTACCTCTGACAGCCTATCAAACTTACCGTGAACTTCGTCAGTTCACCTAGTCTCACCCAACCTTCTGGCGCGGCGCTTAAAACATGCCTCCCCTCGGGGAGGCGTGTGTGTGTGTGCCCCTTGTAATCACAGGGATCCCTTTGGATTTTTTCTTTTCAGCAGGGGGGCTGGTTGTTCATGCAAGTACCAGCCCAACGAAGAGGCTTGCGTTGAACACTGATATCGGTGGGGATGCTCACCGACGTACCTGCAATTTTCCTTTTTCCGAATGGCATGAGGCTAAGCCTAGAACCTCACTTGCTGCAGACATGAGCGATCGTCGTCATTTCGACCTGTTCGTCGCCTTCGACCTTGCGCTTTTGGCCTCACTTCCTCTTACAGACCCCCAGGCTCCGATGGTCCTTACTGGTTCTCTTAGGAAATGGAACCCTAGGCCGGCGTGTGGCACCGCTATCAGTTCCGTACGCATATCCATAAGTGTGTGTGAGGTCTTCGTGGAACATTGCAAAAGGTTAAGTTGGCGCTGTCAGATATCGCATTCGCCAGGCATTTGAGCTTCCAAGAGGCTTTGGCCTCCCAGGCTCTGGCTGAGCAGAACCAGCTGGGACTGGAGGTGGGGCGTTGGAGCATGGTGCAAATGCAGGGCTTGACTGTCGTGGGAGTCAATTCTTCCACCTGTGAGAGAAATGTAGCCTCAAGATCCGTCAGCCGAGGCTGCCGAGCGGTTCAAGAGAGTTGGCGGGGGCTTTGCCGAGTTTCTGAACATCCCCTTCTACCGGAACATGCTTCGAATTGGTGCTGGGTTGCTTGGGCAGGTGAGAGTGTGCCGTATATATATATATATACATATGCATACTAACATAATAGACATAGATAGAGAGATACATGTACACATGCACAACATATAATATAGGAGTGCTGAATATACAGAAAAGGTATATAGACTTTATTCATATTTATGAATTTCTTTCCGGAACGCCTATTTTTCCGGCAATTTGTTTCAGTTTTTTCCGGGATTTTTTTTCGTGTCTTTTTCCCTACTGCTGTTGCTTTTTGTTTTTGCTTTTGCTTCTGCTTTTGCTTTTTGCTTCTGCTTTTGCTTTGCTTTTGCTTTTCCTTCTGCTTTTGCTTTTTGCTTCTGCCTTTGCTTTTTTGCTTCTGCTTTTGCTTCTGCTGACTGTCTTCTTTACATTGACGCTGCCACAAAGTTGGATGATAAGACCTTCACCTTGAGCTTTGACACCCAATTACACCAATCAAGAAGCGAAGCAGCCCAGCGCTGTCTATATTTGATTTGCATTGCGGGGAAGGCGCTGCGCGCACCCCCTCCCGTTTTTTTTAATTGTTGCCACTACCGTCCACCACCCCTACTATTTCCAATACCTCTATCACTCGGACCACACCGCTACGAGTCTTACCACAGTTACCGCAACAACTACTATTTTCTTTGCGTTGACGCTGCCGCAAAGGTGGATTTCTACTTTGCTTAGCCCAAAGAAACCCGAAACCACTGAAGCCCAAAGACAACCGCAGAAAAGTCCCTATTATAGTTCCTCTCTCCTCCTACTTCTCCTTCGTTAAGTGGGATGCCTTTTCCGGAAGAACGCCTAAAGAAACCCTAAAGACAAGAAACCGAGCCCAAAGAAACCCGAAGCCAGTGAAGCTAAAGACAACCGCAAAGAAGTCCCTAGTAAGTGAAATACCTTTTCTGTTCCCTCCCTTTGTCACTGTCACGCTGGCTCTGGTGCTTCGTCCCCTGCCCTTTCTGCTGCTCCTAGTGCTTGTAAAGCACTCCCAGCAGAAGCAAAAGCAAAAACAGTAGGGGAAAAAACGTGAAGCAAAATTCCCGGAACAAAATCTGAACAACATTCCCGGAAAAAATATCCATCCTTTCTTTCCCTCTTGGTGCGGTTTCTTATGGAAAGAGGCCTCAATGGCAACTCTTGGAGAGCATCATCAATCACAGATAACCATTTGCAAAAGGTGAAGGGGGGGTTCCTATAGGATACTAACTGATGTGGATTGAACATCTAATGTAGGAGAGGCCTCTAGGCCTGTTTTTGGCCCTTTGTTGTTCCGGTCACGGAAGATCGACCTTGGAGTACTCCTTGGCCGTGGCTCATAGAATGCGCCACTAGCTTACATAAAGAATAGACGCTCCAGTATGAGGGCAGCGCCGAAAACCTTGAACTAGTCTGTCTTTCTACATGGTTGTCGATCTAAAGGTCCTAGACAGCATTGTGTATGACGATGACCCGGAACATATCAAAATCTCATTTGGCGAAAGTTTTTTCTCGAGTTGGCTAAAGTAAATTTTTTCGGCGAAAGATCTGGCGAAAGATTATATAAATATGTACTTTTGTATGAATGTTTATTTGCTTCCTGAACAGCTGGTGGCAGTGACTCAGAAATTAGATGAGCTGTGGCAGTTAGATCACCTGCTGCTGCTGCTGCGGCTACTACTACTACTACTACTACTACGACGACTACGACTACGACTACGACTACGACTACGACGACGACGACGACTACTACTACTACTACCACGACTACTACTACCACTACTACTACCACTACTACTACCACTACCACTACCACCACCACTACCACTACCACTACTACCACTACTACCACTACTACCACTACTACCACTACTACCACTACTACCACTACCACTGCTACTATTACTACCACCACTACTACTACCACTACTACCACTACTACTACTACTACTTCTACTACTTCTACTACCACTACTGGGGGGGGTGGCTTTGCCACAAAACTCTACCCCGCAAAAGGCGAAAGTTTGGCGAAAGTTCAGCTCAAGATTGGCGAAAGTTCACCCTGCCACATCTGACCCCCAGCCCATTATGAGTAAGTTTGAGTGACCGGCTATTACAGTGATTCTTGCAATTTTGATTCTTGCTGACACCCAGGAGAAACAAAAGAGACGTACAGGTTGCCAACAGTTAAGTAGAAGACACATGCTGACAAACAGTGAAGTTTCTATTTTGTGTTTGCCAGTAAAGAAGAAGCCATTGACGTGAACAAAACACAACATACATGGCACACATAAATACAACATACTTCGGCGAAAGATAAAACGCAGGAAGGCGAAAGTTTGGCTAAAGTAATTTCTTTTTCGGCGAAAATGACGGATCCCGGATAAAGAAATTTAGATCAACTCCCACATCGTTTTGCTGCGCGGACCCAAGCTTTGTTTAAAGATTTCAATTGTTCCTGAGTGTTGAAACTGTATTGATTTTTTATTGGCAGGTCTGTCAAAACATGATCACTGTCTTTGCGTTTCAATTGTTAAGGCATCAAAACCCTAGCAGGCGCCATGCAAAATGCCCCCGCCGTTCAAATCCATTGCATACAACAGCGTCTTCAACACCCGTGTGTGACCGTGCGAGTGTGACACTCAGGCATTTTCCTCGTCAGGTGTTTTCGTTAAGGACCGCTAAGGCGTCTTAAAGCAATTCCTTGGAGACGGCAAACCGCTGGAAACTTCTTTCTGTCGATTGCCAAAGCCCGCGCGATGCGGTCTAGTCAGCACGCAAGAGGTTTCTGGGCTCGATCTTGTCACAGCAAGTAGGTGAAAGCAACCACGTAGGCGTGCGCTGAGAGTCCGTCACAAACCCTGAGCTGCGACAGCAAAGTTTATCACCTCCCCGCCATCCCCAGCCCATCCACCCACATGCATCATGGCGCATGGGGAGAAGAGGATGTAAAGTTGCACTAACATGGTAGCACGGACCTTAGCACGGAGAACATGAGGATGGTTGTCAAATGTTGTCAACATGAAACTCCTGAAGTGCCTCGGGGATTGTCAGGGCACATGGGACAATGAGGCGAGTTGGCGATGTTTTTGGGAGATACTGGCCGCTAACCTCTTCGTTGACAGATGACGGCCGAGCAGGCGTGGAATGCATAGGCAGCATTGCAAACTGTGGGTACTTGTTTAACTTGACGTTAAAAGAGCGAAATAGAGACCCCATTTGACTCAGCAACCAGTGAATGTACCACAAAACCAGCTGAACTCGTCTCGCTGTTTTGATGCCCACCACAGCTGACGCTGCAGGACTTTGGAATTTGCTCTTGGGTGCCAAGAAACTGATCCTCGCGAGCTTTCTGCGCCCAGATGCAAGCACTTACAAGAGCTATGAAAAGGCCAGGCAGAGCACTTTCTACGGCTTGAGGTAGGGGACCGGACTTGACTGTCTCATTTGCAGTCGGAGGCGACGAGGAAGGGGCGCACAACGGGACGGTCCCCGCCCATCGGACCGGCCCAAGATGAGGAAACTGATCAAATTTTGCAACCGATTCTCCGCGACTCGCTACTAGGAACAAGGGCATTACTACTAGTAGCTAGAAACTATTTGGTTGGAGGCCATCGCTACTAGGGTGGAGTACTACTATATATGGTAGCGAGAAGCTACATGGTCCAGGTATTTCCGAGTGTTTTGCCGATCTTGGCCAGGCTGCCTTCCCTCCTGGCTCAGAAGATTGGTTCTTCACAATCTTCATGTTCGGTAAGCCGAAGGGGAACGGATCTCTCATGTACAACTTGTCGAAGATCAAGAGCCAGGCATCGGATCTGGCTCCCATGTGTGATGCCAAATAGAAAGAAACGGTTCCCTTAAATAATTACATTTACATATTGGAAGGGACGCCACATGGAATCATTTTTCCGCACAATTATTTTGTATAGAAGTTACTGTATTGCTGTATTACTTTGATTCATTAAATTTGGGCGATCAATCGAGCTGCTGTGCTCAGGTGAAAAACCTCCAGGCAGCTTTGGTGACTCATGAGGCTTGCCATATCCTCTTCCGCAACCAAGGCCTCGACGTCTCAGCCTTCGAGGCGCTGCTTTGGCACGGTTCGCTTCTATTTGGAGGCCATTGCTACTAGGTTGGAGGCCTCGAAACATCGCACTCCACCATAGACCGACCCGCTGGGGCGGCTTTTGGGTCGGCTGCGAAGCACCGCTGCATGTGCAGCCTTTCCAGGTGCCTTCCATCGCCTTTCCCATGAGCTGGGATGGCCATGGACAGGCCTTGGACGTCTCCAAGGCGCCACCGCGCATCGGGCTGCAGCTCTCCTTCAACTGGAAGAACTCCTTGTTGCACTTTGAGGAGATGCCGCGAGACACTACACCGATCCTGCTTGAGGTGAAGGTATATAGGGCCTTTGGGGTATTTTCATAGGGTGCGTGGGGGAGGCCGGGAGGTGAGTTCTTTTCTTTTGCGCTACCTTCTTTCGCCAGCACATGGCTGTCAGAAGGGAAGCAATCGTTGCAAGCAGGAGGTCCCCGAACAATTCTTCAAAGCAGCTTGAGCGCCCCAAGCCAAAGTGACAAGGAATTTCAAGGAATCGTGACGGCCACCTTGAGAAAATGCGGCAGAAACCTGTTCACCCAGCTTCGCGTCCCAAGCTGAGTATATACACAAAGCCGCAGCTGCAGGAGAGCGAGGTGGTGTGTCTCGACCCGGCCCAGCCCAAGTCGCAGATCCCCGACCGGGTGCGGGGTGGTGATTTTGGTCGTGCCAGTCGGCCTATCCATTTGGTTTTGGCCCTTCGCAAATGACCTGCAGAATGATCATGCCGCGTCTCATTTGGAAGGCTTTGAAGCTAGCCAACCAGTTCACCGGCCGGATGATAGCGAGTTTGGAGGAACCTAAGCTGATACAAGCCCAATGTACAGTATATGTTGAGCCTATGTGAAACTGGTTCTACAAGCCAGCCCTACTGGACACTTGATCGTTCATGCAGCATGCATTGATGTTTGCCCGGTAGCGAAGGATTGCCCGTGATTCCCCACTATGAACTGGAGTTCGGGATGATCATTTTTGGAGGTCATGTTCTGCAGCTGCACCACACCGTTGTTACTGCAAAACGGACGCCTTGGAGTATTCCTTTCCAAGATGAACCTTCAAAACATTCAACATTTTTATTTGGTAGAGAGGATTTATATATCTCAGATCTCCCCTTCCTAAATGGTATTTGACGCCATATTAGCCTTCAATCCAACTAGACACCTAAGGGCTGCTCGCTCCAGGCTCCAGAGCTTCATCGGCTCTCCGGGCCTCGATGGATTTTCGTGTCCGAGACGCCCCAGGAGCATCCGACAGACGGATCCGCTGCGACAGGTCGTTGAACAAATTGCTTGGTGGATGATGTGGATGGCAGGAGCCCTACAACTTCAACCCGTGTGTTTGCACAAAGGTGATCCCTGTCTACATGAGAGGCAGCCATTGTTCCTTCCTGTCCAGCATCTTGGTAGCAGGCAGAATTTGGTGTTGTACCCATCTCGCTCATTTTGCCATGGAGCATGGCGCCTTCCAGAGGACACAATCATTGGCAGTGAAATTGATGTTCAGCAGCATATCCTCTCTTGCTGGTAAGTTTGGGGCCTCCTCCAGGCCACACTTTTTCACCATTTTGCAAGGTTCGCCGAAGCTCGCGGCCACCTCGGTGAGTGGCGATGTGAAGCGCGGCCAACGCACGGAGAAGACTGGGAACATCCTGGCCCACCAGGCGAAAGACCAAGTGTGCGGGGAGCAAAGCCTCGGAAGTCGGCTAAAGAGGCTCTTGATTTTTTTTGGTATGTCTCGATCAAAATCCATCTTGCTGTGGAATGAAGCCCGCCAGACGTTGGATACTTCTTCGATCTTCTTCGCAACTGCAGTCACGGCACGCTCCATCTGTATACTCTATTGAAAGCAGAAAGCAGAATTAGCTGAATCCTTGTGTACAGAAAGAGAAAGAGAAAGACAAAGAGAAAGGAAAAGCAGGAGAAAGAGCAGAAGACAGAGTAGGATGGGTGCCGATGGGTTTGAGCTGGGTTTGGACTGCTTTGGATGGGTTTGGACTGATTTGTATGGGGTTGAATGTAGGTCAGCCGAGAAAGGCTGAAGGAGAGTACGGCCGTTTTTGGCTCAAACCCCGCCCTTTTTATACTGTCCGGATGCCTACTGATGGCGCAACTCTACTGCGGTACTCTGGCGCTTGTAGATGGTGCACGTTTTTTTCAATTCATCCATTCTCAGGGGGGGGTACATATCTTGGAGGAACCCAGCCGCCCAGGCCCAATTTCACCAGGATAAGCTCACATGATTAGGGTTGCTGCTAAACGATCCTGCCATCTTGCGGGGCCACATCTGCAACATTTCTATATATATATATTTATATAAATTTATATATATTTCTAGGCTCTGGGCGACATGAGTTTGAGAATTTCAAGGGTGAGAATGAGAGTGCACACACGTCGCAAGCCGAATCATCATATGAATCGCAAGGAACCGACTGCAAGCTCCATCGCCTCACCGACATCACAACAAACCAAGGGCAAACTCCATCACACCACAAGCACGCCGGAAGAGCAAGTACCAAGTACCAAAACAGGTATTCAAACAATCAGATTCCTACCAGGAACCAAAGGCACTGCATGCAGCCCCCCTCGACCTGTACTGTGCATGTCAACCTGGACGCAGGTGTCATAGGGGAGTTCAGCACCTTCCAGTGACCCAGCCAGCAACGCTGCACTGGATCATCCCCGCGTAGCACATACTGTACTGCACGGACATCCTTTGCGGACACCCAGCGAAGGATCCAATCTCGGGTCACACGGGCAAGCATGTCTTTAGGGAACGCAGCCAAGGAACATAAGGACATAAAAGCCTCTTCAAAAGCAAGAGCCCAGCCCTCCGAGCAGCTGGACAAATGAAAGATGCGCCATAGCCATCCCTTAATGACCGCCGTCGTCTGTCGACGGGGGTCCACGATGACCATGGCTGCACATATTTTTTGAGTTTGCATTTTGCTCACCCCCTATCCCTGCGCACTCTACAGGTGCCAAATAGCGAGGATAAATACATTGATGGCACATCCCGGTACCCTCCCGGAAACCCTGTGTTGCGCAAATTACTCTCAGGGCGGTGTAATGAGATGCTGGGTTTGGGAGTGTTTCAACACGAAAATCCGCTGGTGAGGCCAAGGTGCAGCCAAAGACCACTTTTACTACAGAATGGCCTCCTCCACCTTGGAGGCAAGGAGATGTTGGGAAGGTGGAGATTCAAAAACCCAGTTTCGGCCATCCACACCCGGCTCATTCCATCTGGCACCGCCTCTGGAGGATTGCTGCTTCCGAGGAGGTCGAGGGTGTGATGATGTCGACCTACCAGTGGCCTGGTGTAGAGTGGGCGACGTGGAGATCCCCCCCACCCATCGGCATCAACTCAGGTTCTACCACCGAGCCGCTGCCGTGGAAGGCGCGACTGAAGGCGTGGAAAGTGTGAAGGTGTCCACCCGTTGGTGGCCTGGCTGAAGATTGGGCATGAGGAGGAATGAGGGTTGCGCGCTTCCACCACTTTAGGGGTTTGCTTCGTGAGCAGCCTTCTGCCCGCTCTTCTCTCCCAAATGGTTGCTTCCGGCCGAGGCTTGCTGCAACTGGCGGGGGCGGGAACGACGTGATGGTGTCGACCTACCAGTGGCTTGGAGAATCACCCCAGCCAGGCCAAAATAGAACGTTGCTGCTTCTAAAACTCTCCTACCTCCATCCCTCCCGAACAGTTTAAGTGTCTCCACATAATTCCCTGCCCCAAAATGCATCCTCCCCCAGATGAGCCTCCACCGAGGAGTTCGTACGAACTGAAGAGCTCCCACGCCTTGAGCGACTTTGTCACAGTGCCCCCGGCGGGAAAGCAGCGGGTGTCGGAGGAGAAGTATCGCTTCCACCGGACGGAGGAGGTCATCGCGGCTGCCGGCGGCCACAGTGTGGGCTCTGGGTTTGCTGGTGGGCACTTGGAGCAGCACTATGGGCGAGTCGCCCAGGTGCGAAGAGGGGGATGGGCCAAAATACGCGGCGTGACATTCATATCGAGTTGGGTTTGGGTGTGTGAGCCAAAGTTTTGGTGGTGGGTGGAGCTGCACAAGCGGGTGTCAGAGTCTGCTAGAGTGGGGACGCTAGCTTTCATTGCTCTCCTCCTGTCACAGCTCATCAGGTGGCTAGGGCCTCTCGTAGACGGCAGATGGTGGCGACCCAGTTCCTTTGCATGCGGGCGACGTTTCTGAAGCTTGGAATGTGAGAGACCAAAGGCTTACTTATCGAGGGTGGTGTGAGCAGAGCTCTGATACTTAGTTTGCGGAGATCCTAGTGGCTTCGCGTGAGTCACGTGCGGCTTTATTGGCACTTGGTGCTGCTGACCATGCCAAGGACATGGAGGATGGCGCGCGGCATGAAGGATCCCGACCCACCCCCTGAAGTCACAGAGGCAGCTGCCTCCTCGGTGGCGATGGGAGAGAGCAAGAATGAGACTGCAGGAATGGACCATCGGGGTGGAGCAGTGGAAGTGTCGGTGGTCAAGCATGGTCAAACTGGGATAAACTGGATGAAATGACGACCCTTGGGTCAGGTCTATATTTTGGGGGGCCAGCACATTGAATCCTCGGGGGATTTCAGAAACCTAGCCACCTAGCCTTCAAGCGATTTGGCCAGGAGACACGCCCGCGCTGCCCGAAGTGTTGGCCGAAAAAGAGGGCCTAGACGATCTAGAAGCGAATCTTGGCAGCGTGGTTTGACCAGGATGGCCAGAGCAAACAGTTTTAGAGTTTTTGTGACGCAAACTTGGTTGCATAGGGAAAACAAGCCGAAACGTGTGTCATGTGGTGGAAGTTTGACATATCACACGTGCATGCTTTACTTCTCAAGTGCCCCCAGTGAAAGGAGGTAGGTCTCCTTGCGATGTACCTTGAAATCTTCTTGGTTGCGCCTTTCGTGTTTGGATTTGTCGCTGGGTGCCTGGCGACACGGTTGTGGTGTCGAGTCGCTGCTGTGATTCCCACTTGTGTATGCATCGGTCCCACCAGCTTCGCTGCTTTGCATTGGGATTGATTTGTGTCCATGGCTGGCTATGGTTTGCCTACAGCGGTTCAGCTGGCGACGTTGGATTCCCTCGGTCGCACTCATGCTCACCGCCACTGTTCCGAGCAGGTGTGGCAGGCCGTGGACAGATCGTTGGGGGTGTGTGGCAACTCCTACTCTGTGCAGGCAGAGCTTGATGATGGAGGACATCGATCCTCTAGCAGATCCAACCCCACCAGTTGGAGGAGGAGCCACTCCACCAGCTGTAGCTGGTGCATCGCCCACCAAGAAGGTGAAGGTCTCCAGTGTGACAGACCAAATAGACGATTCCGAGATCGACATCATGTCGGGGGCAGAGCTGGATCAAGCCCATCTCAATCACACAGAGATGACTGGTGCCGAACCTTGAGACGACGCAGAGCCCACTGGAGAACAAGTGGCAGCGCTCCGGGACCGCATCATCCGGAGAGGAGAGAGCCCATACGCAGACTTCTCAACCCTGACTCCCTTTGGGAGGACGATGCAGAAACAGCTGAAGACGCGGTCATGGTTGCTCCAGCAAGATGGCACCTTCAAGGCATAGGATATCCCTGGACCTCCAAGCTTCGAAGCATGGAAAGCGTGCTGGCGAGTGTTTCGATCCATTTTATTCATGCTGAGGTATCCGGGTCCCACTCCGACAGATCCGCCTTTGGAAGGTTGTCACGGCAGCCTGCTGGAGGAGTACTGCGACCGCATTGCAAAGCTGAACCAAGACTTCCCACAGACGTGGCACCTGATCATGAAGGCCGAGGACAAGTGCAGGCCCCAAAAAAAATTCGAACGCCACAGGCGGCATTTGACGAAAGCTGTAGCAGAGAATCGACTGCCGATGGGCCTAGAGTTCTTGCCTCAGCAGCCTTGGATCGGGGTGGTCACGCATGCTGCGAGACATCGGGAATACTGGGAAGAGCATGTTCATCGCAAGAGGGGGCAGGAACATGACTTTGGACAAGGCCGAGCGTGTGAACATGCCGCCACCTGCGAAAGAGTCTCTTGGGCTAGAAGAAGATGGCCCATCCCGCAAGAAGAAGCAGAAGAAGAAGCCCGAAGGCGAAGCGCCCCGTGGGTCTGCAGGTCAAGGAGGAGGAGAAGACCACCCCCAGAAATGGGGAAAGCAGTACATCACCACCTCGGAGGGGCACGAGATTTGTTTTCGATTCGCCAAGGGCAAGCCAGGAGATTGTCCAGAGCCATGCAAGGATGGTCGGATCCATTCCCGCCAGACGTGCCTTGGGAAGCGTCCCAACTCCCAATGTCCGGAGAAGCCCAAGACCAAGCGAAAGGGAAAAGGCAAGAGCAAGAACAAGAACTGACGACCTGTCAGCAGGTCACGAGGACACAGCTGCAAAGATGGTGGATGGAGGCACCGTAATGCCCCGGCAGACCGAGGAGACCAACAAGGACTTCGAGAACCCTGCAGGTACGAGATCGTTCAAGTTCCTCGAACTGTTTGCGGGCAAGGCGGGCTTTTCGAAAGAAGTGAAATGGCTGTGTGGCAAGATCGTCAACATCATGGAGCCTTTGGATGTCATGGGCAACTGGGACATCCTCACGGAAGAGGGCTTCGAGAAAGCCAAGAAGGCGGTGGTGGATGCAGACCACACACACATTGCCTTCCCATGCCGAAGCTTCAGCCGAGCAAGAAGATCAGACAATTACGGCTCGGGGCAAGTGGTGAGAACAGAAGATTGGCCAGAAGGCTGGGGCCACCCTATTGCAGAGGACAGGAACCAGATCCTGGAGCGGGCGCTGGCTTTGATTTATTTGATCGAAGACGCCGGCAAAACCTGGTCGTTGGAGAACCCAGAGCACTCCTTTGCATGAGACCACAGCAAGATGGCCAAGGTGCTGAAGATGAAGCGCGTGTGCAATGTGGCCTTGGATCAATGCCCATATGGTGCACACTCAACGAAGGGGACAAGGATAGTGACGTCGGCGTCATGGATGGCCAGTGTGGCACTTCGATGCGCGGACGTGAGGCCTCACTTTCACATCCCAGGAGGACTTGTTGGGAAGACCTGGGACCCCGTATCCCAGAGTATGGTGTGGAAGACTTCGCGGGTAGCTGAAACCCATTGCAGCAGATCTCCTCCAATGGTTGGAAAGTCCAGCTGGATACAACTGGTTGGCAGAGAGGGCATGGGTGAGAAGAGAACAAAAGCCAACCAGCTGAAGGTGCCCAAGGAGAAGCTGAGCGTGTTGAAGCGCCAAAGAGAAGAGCTGGTGCAGAAGATGAGCAACGGGCCAAAAGACGCGAAGCTCGAAGACCAGCCTGGAGAACACCGGGCGAACCTAGAGGACAAGTCAAAGAAGGAAGTGAGGGAGGAAGAAGATGCGGCTGCCATCGGGGGACTTCGAGACCCTCGAAAGGCAGTGGCCAATAGCAAGAAGCTCAAGACAACGGGCCATCGCATTAGACAAGCACTGGAGCGTGCGCAGTTTGAAAACGATATGAGCATGGCCCCTGAGCTGATCCAACGGGCTAGGCGGCTAGGCAAGCCTTGCATGAAGAATTTGATGTCAATGAAAAGGCACATGAGGAAGGCTACCAGATTGCACTTTTGAGGGCAATGCTGGAAGCCGCAGCCGATGCTGCCTCTGGGCATATGCGTGCCAATTGAGCACACGAGTGTCTTTCCTGCGACTGACGATGTGTCAGCCTCGATCAAAGCATCCCAGACGATTGGCATCCTGCTTGAGGATTGGAGTGGCGACGCCATGAACTACTCCTCTATCTATGATGCAGGAAGCCGGGCACGGGCACAAGCAGAGCTGGACAGAATGGTCGAGACAGGCAGAGCAGACAGAGCTTCGTCTTGGCAGGAAGTGGTCGCACTCGTTGGCCCCGAGGCAAAACTGACGCAGCTTGCGTGCGTCGAGAAGGTGAAAGACGGGAAATTGAAAGCCCGGCTGATAGTCGACGTGCGTAGGTCGGGCGTCAATGGACGCATGAATTTGCTTGAACGCATCTGTCTACCTAGGATTTCTGATGTTGCAGTTGCTGTTCATGAACTTTTGAAAGACATGCATTCAGGTGAACATCTAGAAATGATGGTGATGGATTTTTCTGACGCTTTTACACGCTTCGGTTGGATCTCCGGGAAAGGGCATGGGTATGCATCAAAGCTTTGGATGGCACATATATCCTCCCTAAATGTGTTTGCTTTGGACTTGCATGTGGGCCCGTGCTTTGCGGGCGTGTTGCCGCCACAATCATGCCCACCAAGACCGCACGCCTCCAGTGTTGTGTCGATGACCCCATCATTATGGCCAGTGGCAAGGGGTTTAAACTGGCATGGCGCAAAGCCCAACGAGGGAGCACAATCGATTGGATCGGAGTTCGACTGGCTTTGATTGGGGATCAGCCTAGAACGTTGGAGGTTTCGCTTCCCCCGGAAAAGGTTGCTAAAGTGCTGGAAGCAATCGATGAGATAGAGTCCCATACATCCATGATCAACACTAAACAGCTGGAGCAGCTGTGTGGGTTGCTTTCATGGGTTTCGCATTTGATTCCGCTGGGAAGGCCATGGACGAGCCAGCTCTGGCGGCGGTGGCCATGTCACAGAGCCGAGCAGCGACGGGGCCGGGGCCCAAGAGGGCTCGCGCCCGGAGAGGAAAGGACTGACGTTCGTTCGTCAGGTGAAACATCCATTGCAATGGTTGCGACGGATGCTTTCGCTCAAGGGGTGTGGCTCTGGTGACACAGACTTGAAGCCGTTAGTTCGGACTTACAGGTGGGACGCCTCGCCAAGAGTGGTTCGGGTCGAAACTGATGCTTCCCCAACCGGCTTAGGTGCCGTGTTGTTTGTGAGTGAGACACCCACACTATATCGCACACGTACTGACCGAGCAGGATTGTGCAGATTTGGGGGGGCAAGCTCGGTTACATGATCCAGCGTACCAGTCTGAGATTGAACTGTTAGCCATTTAAACTGATTCAATTTTACTTGCACAGCGACAGTACGTCCGCTCTTCACACAGCCCTGACCCTCAGGGGCAAATCGCCTCTGATGTCGTTGCTGGCAGGAGAGATTGCATTGCAGTTGGAGGCACTCGAACTGGACGCCTTGTGAGGTATGCACCTGAGAGGGGTGCTGAATGACTTAGCTGATCCATTGTCCCGCATTAGTGAGGGTCAGTCCATCCCACAAGCGTTGCAACATGCACAGCGAGTGGCGGTGCCACCTTTGCGTTCAATGTTTAGAGCTTGGCTTCAAACTGCGAGCCAGGACGAGGGAAAAGGGGGGCAGCTGTTTTGGGTTCGAGGGCGGCCGTTCGGAAAGCATCCACTGTAGTGCCTTGTCAAAGAAGGGCTGGAGGCATGAACAACGCCGGGGGTGCTAGGAGACCGATTTTGACTTCAAGGAGGTCAGCTCTGGTCCGCATCGAGGAGGCGAACAGGCCACCGCCTGGGGTCGTAGCGGCCAGAAGGCAGCTTGGATGGCCTGAGGAAGAAGCGGTGGTAGTTCATCGCGAGGAAAGCCATGAAGCCTGGCCCGGAGTGACCCGAGCAAGCACGTCCATGACGGCCGCAGGGTTGCCTCAATGGACAGTGGATAGGTCTAGCGAATTGGTTCACAACACCGGCCAACGAACGGCTGAACCCGCAGGTAGATCTGTGGTGTTTGATGTGATGGGTGAGCCATGGGAAGT